AAAGGCCAAGTCACGGGCCGTATCGGCAGAACCAAACATCCCCGCCCTCGCAAAGCTAGCATCCGCCGCGGAGCGAGCAGGCTTGCAGCACAAAACCTGGAGCACGTTCTACCGACACGGGTGCACCCGGGATTTGTGCCACCGTTTTACACCGTGGCACCCGGCAAACGTTTGCGGAGCAGCCGAGAGACCGGCTCAGGGCCCTGCTGCGGGACAGGGAGAGGGCTGAGGACGGGCTGCAAGCCCAAAGAACCATCCGGGGAGCTCGGCTGCACGACCCTCCTCAAACTCATCAGGAGGTGGTACCCCCTTAGCAGCAAAGGAAAAGGGAGTAGCACATTTCTACCAAGGAAATAACCATTTTTTTCTTTAATTAACAAACCAGACATTCTTTCTGGTTCGTCAGGAATCAACGGTTTTCAGAAAAAAAGCACATCATGCATATGCACAAACACCGGGGCATCTTAGATGTGGGATCTGTATTGCAAAGGCATTTCCCAGCGACTAGACTCGAGAGAAAACAAGCACAAAAATATCATTAGTTAATGGATCCTCTGCAAAGCTGTCTCTGTTTATCTTGCTCATCTGCTCATTCAGATTAGGTAAATCCACTTATTTCCTAGAACTCCCAACAAATACTCCGCACCACCCTCTCTCAGACTCCAGGAGAAACCGATGCTCCAGTGCTTGCACTGCGCTCACCGACACAAAGATTAAGGAAGGTGTCTTTCAATCTGCACCACTTATGTGGTTGGCATTAAATCACACAGCACCAAATGCATTTCTAAAACACAGAAGCAAGCCAAAGCTGATGCAGAGAACAGAACAGGGAGGTTATCCCTTCAAGCCAGGACCACGCACAGCACAGAACTCTAAGGCAGACGAGAGAACAAGCTATATGTTAGCATGTATAAAGTGATGTTTATTTTATAACCTAGACATATTCAAGGCTGAGGCATTACACAGATTATAAGCCCAACACACACACACGTCTAAGCTGCGCACTCAAAGCGCGAGTTAATGCGGAGCCTGTGCGCCGTTTCATTCTCCAGGACAAACTACACCACCAGATCCCTGGCTGGGGCTGCCGAACCTTCCCAGCCCCAGCTCCACCAGCAATTTAACAGCCTGTGCAGCAAGCAGAACAGAGGCACTTTGCTATAGGCTGCCGCTGGCAAACAATTACTCTGCAATTTGTTGGCTCAGATGCAGCCAAAAAGAGCATCCAGCTTAAAAATGCTTAGCGCTCAGTTACAGAGTGAGTATCGAGTACAAGTGGGTTCAAGCAACAACCGCAGTTTGCATTGCACAGCTCCATACTGCGTTTTTGTCCATTTTTTCCATTTCTGTGCTGGTCAGCAGAGATCAGCACTGCCTTAAAGACTTCTCTATTGACCTCGTTACATTGGTCTTGCTCAGGGCTGGTAGCTGCTCCTTTGAACACAAATGCAGTAACTATCCTGTCTCGATTTTCTCTCATTCTTTCCGTTTATTCTTTTTTTATGCCTTCTGTAACTATCACTCTGCCCCCATCTGTCTTTACCCTTCTGTCTTCTACATTATGGAGTCATATAGTGACAGAAGGGATCAACCATCGCTGTTGTGAAACTCCCAGACTGTATTAGGCCATAAAAACTAGGTTGGTTCCCCCCTGCCAAATCTAGCATGGTCATCTCCAGCACATAGTTTAGCAAATCTACAGCAAGACTGGCATTCTTCTTCCGAGCACTGTTCTTCTGTAGAAGTTTGTTTTGTTGAACAAACAGAAAGCGTACAGTCTAGCAGACACACAGTTGGCAGGAGGCTGTTCACAAGAGCTTTAACTCTAAGTATCTTTTTGGCAAGCCCATTTGGCTGCTCTAGGGTTTTTTGTTGGTGCCGTGTCCCGCCATGCCCTGGTCATACTATGGTTTGGTGAGCAACACTCCTGAAGCAGCATAAGGACTTAACAGATTGCGTGCCAATTTATTAAGCTCCAGGAACTCAGTTAGTGGCTTAGAACCAGGCAACAAGGCCTTTATCCTTCACATATTAATCTTTTGCATAGGTGAAGTGCACTAGTCTGATGCGGTACTGCTAGACCACAAACCTGTGAGCACATCCAACATGGAATGAGGCCATTTTTTTCATTCTTGGTGGCCAGGGGTTTCAGGGAAGGAACTCTGGGAAACAGTGCTGTCTTTTACAGCAATACAAAGAGCGTGTGGATAAAAACACATCACCTTCCCCAAATCCAAAACCAAAAAACACTCAAGGGGCAGCAGCAAAAATCAAAACCAACTTTGGATAGGTGCTTACAAGGCAGAACACAGAAATTATTATGAGTCAAACATACTCGTGTGCTGCTCTATTAGAAAGCAGAGAAAGCCATGCTGCTAACAGGAAGACAGAAGAACGTGTTTGTAATGTTAGTTGTCTGCTTCCTATCAATACTTCAGTTTTTGATTTATTTTCATTTTAAGATTTGAATTTCACAGCTACGCTTCCCACTTTTTCAAGGCGTTTTTTGTTTAATCATTTACATCAATTAAGACAAAGCATGCCTCTATAATTTAGAGCTTTGTGTTCTGGAGTAGATTATTTACAATCGACAGAGCTGAATACTAAGAGCATCTAGAAACTCTAAACAGCCCCAGACATGGTTACTTGGGTGTTAAATACTATATTCCTTAGACAACACTACTCCACGGCTGCAGACGTCTGGTTTAAGATTTCATTCATTCAGACCTGTGTAACAACGTTAGTCACCTGTAAGACTCTAAACAGGCTCTGCTGTAATCCACCTCTTGCCACAGGATGCACAAGCTAAGAGCAGCAGGGGATGCACAGCTTCAAACCCCCTACGCGGATGGCTGTTTACGCTCCCATTCCTGGGCTAGGATCAGAGAAACAACACAATCCTAGAATGAAGCAAGACATCATTGTAAATAAGTTTTACTAAAAATATTTGAACAAAGTATCACAAAGTTGAAAGTATTCACAATAGTTGCTGAAATATCCAGCATTTAAGCAATTCACCCAGGCACGGTTACAAACCACAAAAAGGGTAACAGTTTTTAGATGTATTTCATGCGTTATACAAAGAACCAAATCAACTTCCAAGTCACTCCTGAGATCTGTCGTCAAGGTACCCTGGAAGAGGATCTAGGCTGTTCTGGTAAACTAACCAGGCATAACAGACTAAGTCACTCCTGGACTCAGGTCAGCAAAGATCAACGTGAGGAAGATGTGCACACTTACAGTCAGGATACAGCAGACAGAATGGCAGTACTTCCATCAGTCAGCGTTCCTTCAGGATTTAAGGAGTCCCTGGGTTTGGAGTTCTATCTGTAAGAGGCACCACTGCACAGACTGTTTTACAAAGTGAAAGGATTGAAGACAGGTGCCAAAGATGTAAAGGCAAGTTAACCCAGGTTTGATCTTTTTCAGCACTGAAGTGCAAGCCACCTCAGTGGATAAACCAAAACGATGGTTTTCCTTCTACAGAATACCCTGTAACTTCATCAGTCTACTCTTAACACCCAGAGGGACTTTCAGAGCTAAAAGTGACTGCTATCAGAATTTATGAACCTGTTGCTTTAAGATGGATCATGTAAAAACCAGGACATACTGGGGCAATGTTACAATCCTAAAAGTGTTTTTGCTTCTTCGCTCTGTGCCATGAGGGTTTCGCTGGCATACTTCTGAAGAAGCTCCATCTTCTTCCTCCGTACAAGAGCTTCCTCAATCTGCAAATACAAAAATAGGATGACATTCAACTTGAGATGCCAAAACCTGGCATGCTGAGCCAGAGAGGAGGAGGAAAAACGCTGGAAACAGACTGTGAAAGTTAGAGGCATGTACTAGTGAAAAGTAGTTGAATTAAGATGAGTCAGGAGTATCTTTCTAATACTCAACTGATGCTCATGGAATTCAAAAGAAGCAGTAAAATAGACACCTCCATTTCAGATCTACACTCCTACCCTTTTTAATTAGGGCATTAGCTGCAATTTTATTTTACTCTCAGTACACTCGCTGGAATTCCATTTCAAACAGCTGTCTCCAGTACAGCTTTAACAAATGGAGAGCACGGGGAGTTGTGCCACGCTAGTCCACGCTACTGAAATAACAGTTTAGCGTGCCTTTCACATTAGGAACGGCTATGAACCTCTTACCTCAACTTTGTCTAGAAGCGTCAGCAATACAGGATTCTTTAACAAGCATGTACTTTAAGGATCTATTCATAGCAACCTGCAACACTTGCTTTAATCTCAGTAATGATTTTATACTTGTCCAAATTGCACACCGTATCTCTCAAAAATAAACGTTCTGAACTGTAGCTTTTTGTAATTTAGAATATAGAAGGCATAATCCCATAGGCATAAGGTATGGAGTGATTTCCCACTAAAAAAGAGAAAAGATTACACTGACTACTGCCTAATTAGAAGACACTTCTATGTAAATCAGTGGTTATGTATTAGGAAGCCAGTTTTGACTCTCAGTTATGCTCCCTTCCTTAAGGGAATACCATTGGCCAGAGAGCAATGTTTTTAATCCTTACTTCTCTTCTGCAGTCTTGACAAGCCATTACATGTATATTTTGTCAAATGTGCAGGATGACGACTTCACAGCAGAATACATCATTTGTCTGACAAGATGACAGCAGGGAACAAACCCCCACATGCTATCTGTGTGATGTAAAGGCACCCCTACCAAAAGATACAGGGCTCCAGAACCTTCTTGCCTGAGTTACATTTCAAACCACCTGTCAATGTTAAGGTAATATATTCCCTAGAGCAGTTTCTAAGTATAATGTTCAACTCAAGGTCATGCCACCAAAATAGTTTTAGAAAACCTATGACAGCAAACCCTGCAATTCAGAAATCATCCATTAAATTAAAAAAAAAAACAACTAAACAAGTTAGACTGTCAGCAGAAAAGTAAAGATATAGTAGGCAATCATGGTTATGTTGATCATAACACCACAACACCTTCCAATTTATGTAATACTTAGGAAAGTTTTTGAAACTCTCAGATGAAAAGGGTTATAGCAATGGTACCATAATTCTGGGCAGTTCCACAGCATTTGCAAGGGGATTAAACAGCTGTGGAGTCACAGAAATAACAAATCAAGGACATTTTTACTGCTGACCAGCCACAAGTTAAGATCTCTATCTCGAAACGGCCAGAGTGCATCTCTGCAACTTATTTTATGTCTTACCTCTTGTTGAGATGGCACCGGAACGTGTGCAATAAATTTCTGTTGGCCTTCTTCACCTTCTTTTTCCCTGCCACCTTCCTCATCAGACTGAAAAAAAAATTAAGCCACATCTTACTTTCTGAAGGGGTCATCAGAAACATCTTTTTTACTTGCTTTGCCAAAAGGAACCAGATTGTAGTGTTGATCATGCTCTAAGACAAGAAGTAGGTGAATAGGACCAAACCACAAAGGAATATGACAAGCATCACATTCACAACCTGCTCCTCAATATTTTCAGAATTGTTGTTTTCATTCTTTGTATGGCTTTTCCTCTGCTGTGGCATGGGAGTGAATGTAAAGCTATACTGCCTCCTCTTCCTCTCTCTCTGGCTTCCACAGCAAAGCTATAAACAAAAGAGGAGCCAGCTAACCTAGAAGAAAACAAGTGCTTTAAAAAAAAAAATTCTATGTACAGCTTCCCTGTATAGCTCTGTACTCCTTTGTACTCACACCTGAGAGCTGGGCTTATGAATCATGTGATAATATATACAAATAAAACAGAGTACTGAAGGAAACACCATTTTTACTTTATGGACTACCTCCTTTTTATTCTTCTGATTAACCCATGTAGCTATGGACTGCAAAATAACAGCTAGTTTCCAGTACCCCTTTTACAGGTCTTGGAGAGCAGCAGCAACATCCCTTACTGCTCTTACTGGCGTTGGGAGCAGGGAGAATAGAGAAACAAGAGCCATGTCACAACAGTGACTGCAGCATCAGCAAAGCCTCGCTGTATCAGGATTCAGCTAAACAAGACCCTGGTATGCATCCACAACGTGAAATTCTACCGTACACAAAACTACTTGTGCTGTTACTGATGTAGATTGTGCTTAGAAGCAAGACTAATCAGTGCTCAGTTAACAGCACGCTACCGTACAAATACCAGCATTCCAGGCAGTGACAGCTAAATTGCGACAAGGTCTCAGCTGTTAGTTGTTTCTCACCTAAGTAAAAAGTTTTCCCTAGCTGCCAGCTTTCACCAGGCTCTAGCTTGGACCAAGTACTCATCTACTACTGATTTTTACTAAACAGGGACAATTGTATAGTAAGTTAGGCAGAGAGAAGGGCAGAACACAGTAGCAGACAGGTTCTCGGCAGCGTAGAAGACACATGAAATGTTACATCACCTTAGCCGTCACATACCTCATCATCGTTGACAGCATAGATATTTACTTCTTCCTCCTCTTCCTCCTCACCTCTTGCAAGTCGCGCTTCTCTCTCCATTTTCCATTTTTCTACTGCTTCTGCTATAACTGGTTAGCAAAGAAAAACAGCAAGCGTATCTGAGTGCAAGTTAAAGCGGCATGGTCCTGTTTCCAAAGCTTTTCCAACAGACTTAAACTTGTTACGTAAATTCCCTATGTTGGTAACGCACTTACTGTAGAACCTTGCTGTAGAATCTAATAAAAGATATCAACGTAGTCTGAACGAAACCCACTGCTAGCACTGTGAAAGCATGGTACTTGTTAATGCTCTAATTTGTGTACATTTTAGACTCAAAATGTCACGGATAAATATCAACCTACTTTCTGAACGGAGCAACAGGGGCTCACATGACCAAGCTAAGTGGCTCTTACAGCTCTGTAGCATGTCAATAGCTATAGGAATGTCAATCACCATGAGGTTAATGAAACACGATTACGGTCCTTACAGTGACCACCCACATAAGTCTCTTTTCATCTTGTAGTGTATTTCTCTTATTTTGTAGCATGATTCCAATTCTGTAACTCGCTGCTAGCAGAGTGCTAGTAAGAGCACTAAAACAAGTTTTAAGAAGCTTAATCAGTGACATCACAAGTGTATAAAAATCCTCGGGAGGTGCAAGTGTAATGCAACTAGGTGGCGTGAAATACCGACCACAACAGAAGTCAGCAGCCATTCCCCTAGCTCTCAAGGATTAAACATTCAAACGCTCCCCCTGAGAAAGCAAGATCTAACTAACCAGTGGTACACAGCTGCGTTTTTGTGTAATAGAAGAGGTACCCCAAATTAAAAAGTTTTAGCCATACTTTATTTCACAAAAATGTAACTCTTCTGATAAGGTAAAAAACACAAGAGCCCAGACGACAAAGTGACCTTAAGAGAATCTTATCTACTGTGCATTAATAGTACATTAATTGTAAATTAATAGTAGACCTATTGGTTCTGTCAGCATCTCTAGCCTTGTTATTTCAAGTGGCATAATCACCAAACACAGTTTTCTTCAATAGCCGCAGGAACCCAGACGAGCTACCTCTCCCAGCTGCAAATAGCAAGATGTGCCAGATGAGGACTGAGTGGGGGCTGTTTGGGAGCGCTTGCACCACACAACTTCCCTTCGTACGCTATCGATCGATTGTCTGCCAGCCAGCTCCGGGCACTTGGTGTGAGGCTCTAGGCTATGCTGCAGGATGCAGATAATTGAAATATTTCCTTTATTCTGCTCTTCCTCCCTGTTGTATCTAACTGACAAGACATGATCTCTAACACACAATACTATGAAGATCTCACACATGAAGAAGGGATAAATAGAAGAAGCGGATGACCACGCCAAGAGATACTAAGTATTGATAACAGTTACAAGCTCAACAACTTGTAATCATTTAAACAAGTCACTTCCTACACATGCGATGAATATTTTTCTCTCTAATTCCAAAGAGATAATTATATACAAAAAGCAGCAGCATTCAAGCAAAATACAACTGTTTTGTCTGCTGTGTTCTGTGGAAGAGCCTGCCAGGGGTTTCAACACCAGGACCTTTTCCTATAGAGCACTAAGGGTCAGCTTGTTGTTGAAGCTTCAGAAGAGATCAGAAAACAAACATACAGCGCAAACAGCAACGAATTGCCAGGGTCAGACAATGCTCACCAGAAGCACCAAGAGAACTAAGTTCTTAAAGGTGGTGTGCGGCCTCTTGCTTAAAGCTACACAAATACCAGAAGAATGCACACAGTGCTGAATTTTAAAGAGGGTTTCAGGAATTAGACTCGTAATCCTGATGTCTTTACCAGGCAAGTCAGTAGAAACAAAGCTAGAGAATTACGTGAGCAGAAACACACATAAATATTTTCTATTGAGAAAGCACGGGTTTCAAAGGAAAAACCATTCACAAGGCTGTTGAAGTTCTGAGATAGAACATAGATTAACATAAGCCACCTCGGCTTCAGGGTTTCCAGAAAGCCCTCTCTAATCTCCAAGAAAACTAAACAGCTATGTTTATGGATAAATAATTAGGTGAGACAGGAAACAGATGGTACGGTCAGGAGGGAAATAACCGCTTGGGTTCCATAGACGTCCCTGCTGCAACCTACTCTTTTACATTCTTGAGCATGAAAAAGGTGAGGGGGGGAAAAAAGGACATTTTGCTTCAATAGCAAATCACTTGCTGACAATATTAAATCATTAACACTTGTAAAGAGGAAAGCCAACTCTATAGCACACCCCCTCAGCCCTGAAATGCCTCACCCAATAGTGATTTGGATACCTACGTGACAGATGCAATCTGACAGTTAAGCACAAAACAAAATCTTTTTTTCCCTGTAGGTGTTAACTTCAGGGTCCACCATCACCTCTTCTTGGACCGATCCCTGCAGGGTTTGAATCTCACATACCTTTCCTTTCATGTTCTTGTTCCAGTGGCTCCAGAATACCATCATCTTCATCCCTGTAGCCATAGTATTCTGCATCGATGGCTTTCATAAGCTCAGCTCGAGTTTTCCGAGGTGGTGGGAGGGCTGAAAGAACACACGACTGTCACTCATCCAGGTCCATCTCAATAGCTTTGCTGCGTGTTCCCGGTTCCCATCAACCTCACAGCAACTACAACTACCAACGGGTGATCGGAACCGCTGCCAGTATCAGAAGTACTGGTATTTTAACGTGGCCTGCCCAAAACTGTTTGAATGCACGACCCGATGCTTCATATTGCACCGTTCCCACCCTGTGGCCGTTCTACACACTGTCATGCACGTGGTTGTTTTCTCCCCCCATACTGGAGTCTCAGTAATGAGCAAGAAACAAAAGAAACTAAAAAACTGTCCCAAGCTCCCCCAGATCACGTAGTACTTCCCATAATTTCTCTTTGCAGGTGGTAAATAAGGAAAGAGCTGATTCAGTAGGCCTGCCTCACCTTCAGGTCCAAGTAATTCCCACTCATTCTATGATAAATCTATATATAAAGTTTTATCCACTTGCATCTAGTTTTTTCTATGTTGAAACCCAATTCCTACTTCTAAAATTATGTTCAAACCAACTTCCTTATTTTTTTTTTTTTAAATTCTGAACTCAGAGTACTATTTTGAACCTACCGATAAGTTAACCTGTTACGCTGGAAGGTTTCTATAGAACATCAGTCCTTAACACTGTGAACTCCCAACAGAAAACAGAGTTTACTCTTTTCTACATTTCTTTAAATTGCAAACAGCCAAAGGTGGTCTTTTCCCAAAGAAGTGGCATTTAATTAATTTATTGTGTTGAGCGTTTCATTTAGCTGATCTAAGGCATGGGCCAGGACATGATGTTACTAGCATTCCCCACATACTACAGCAGGCATTTTACTCCAGGTTGTAGATTCACATCTGGGAACAGTTGCTATTTACTTACGCTCCTTTTCAAAAAGTTCTCTAACTCCTGGTAAATCCTTTGCAGCTCCAAAATACTTGTAACCTCTGTTTCCTGGAACTTCTTTCCCTTCGTGATCTAACATTTTTGGTCCAATCCGCTGAAAAATAAACAGAGTTAATTGTTTTAAATTTTATTCCTCTTTCATCTTGCATTTCCTGGGCATCTTAACAGATTAAAGGATTCAGAAAGGAGATATGCCATACCAGTTTAAACCACCCCAAAAGTAAAATGCCCGCAGAGCTCATTTTTATACACCTTCTCTACTTTTAACTATAAAAATCACAGATAAAATGACCGTATGAATCACAGAGCGCCCATACCCGACTCATCTCGACAAAATATCCAAACCTGTCTTATTCTCCTTACTAGTACATCGACATCCGATAAACAAGCACTACTAAATCTGACAATGTGTTGGGTTTGCGTGGCAAGGTTT